GTCCACCCCTTTTTCATACAAGTGGACCCGCACAGTGTATACTTGTACTGCTGCCGGTAAATACCCGGAAGTCAGAGTGTGACAGTGATACAGTGAGACAGTGAGATAGTGAGAGTGTGAGGTAACCGTTTTGTAGGAGTCACAGTTGCGATACTGAATTTCCCAGACTGTATATATATTATTATTGCTACTAACCGCATTTCTGGATCTACTAACCGTATTACCAATTGTATTATTACGTCAATACATTTATTTGCTATATTTCATTCTTGCGTTTGTCATTCATTTGAGACCGGATTTCATCCCGGAATCCACAACAACATTCATTAAAAAAAAAAAATAACTGCACAGTGAAGCGTTTATATATGTAATTAAATAGAAAATGGTTTAATGTTTTTAAAGTTTTATACGTTTACTAAAAGTTTATCTTTTTTTTGATTTGTGTTTTCATATAAAATAAATAATCTATTAATAATAATTTTAATACATCATTTTTTATTAAACCAAAAATATTGAATATTCTCCAATTTAATCATTATTTGTCGATTAACATTTTCCACAGTTTACTAAAAAAAACTTGAATGACAACAGGTTAAAATTGGAAACGCTAAAATATTAGGATGTTTTTTGCTACGTTTTCTAATGCTAAGTCATAACTATTTCTTAATTTATAAAAAGTCTTTGTTTTATATAAAGAATACAAAATAAATTGTTTATCAAAACCTTCCTTGACACATACTGAACACGAACAGATAATATGGTTTTAATGATCTAAATACTTTAGTTTTGATATTTAACCAAGATTTTTGTACACACATACAAACAGGCGAATGCCTCTTACTACAGGATAAAAGATGATCTGTGTATTCTTTCAATCATGCCAGTTCCAATTTAATTTAATTATGTCACTGTTTATTTAAAAAATAACTGCAGGGTGAAATAAAGAGTTTATATATGTAATTAAATAGAAAATGGTTTAATGTTTTGATTAAATTTTATCTTTTTTTTTTTTTAATTTGTATTTTCATATAAAATAAATAATGTGTTAATAATAATTTTATTACATCCTATTTTATTGAAGTAAAGATATTGAATATTCTCCAACATTTTCATTATTTGTTCATTAACATTTTTCGCGGTTTACTAATAAAAAACTTGAATGTCAACGGGTTTAAACTAGAAACGCTGTTTTTCCTATATTTTCCACATTTGTTTTACTTGGCAAATATCTTTGATTATGTAAAATATTGGCGTATCTTTTTGCTACGTTTCACACATTTGTTATATATTGCAAATATCTTTGTTCATATAAAATATTGGTGTATATTTTTCCTATGGCTCACACGTTTCTTTTGCGTTGCCAATCTCTTTGCTGATATAAAATATTGGAGTATATTTTTGGGACGTTTCACACCTTTGTTTTACGTTGCAAATATATTTGCATATATGAAATATTGACGTATGTTTTTGCCACGTTTCACACGTTTGTGTTACGTTGCAAATATATTTGCTTATAGTAAACTAGCAAAGCTAACCGGCGTTTCCCGGGATTTGAAATGTTTAAAATAAATAATATAAGTTCCAATTCATTTATTCAAACAAAAAAATATGCCACTGCTGAAAACAGGCCAGAATCAGCATGGCCTAAAAATACACCAGACCAAGATGAAATGTGCAGTAGTAGCTGAGAACTCACAACGCATAGGTGTTACACCAAGTAAGACGGAGGTGGAGCAGGTCCCGGTGACAAACCACAGCGCCCAGCATCACCCAGTGTGGACGCAGACCTTACCGGACAGAGTAGTTTCTAAGCGGATTAAATGGCCCCCAGCAAACACCAAGAAATCATGTCGCGACTTTGCTGAAAACGTATGCATTATAATCCAAGGTACTTCTGCAGGTAACATAGACCGACGACTTCAATCTATGAATAAGATCAGTACAACCAAGCATACCCAATGTGTAACATCGAATAACCCAAGTGAAGTCTTGATTGGTTCCTAGGAGAACTTATATAATGCACGTCCTAAAGCTAGTAGCAATTTTTATTCTGGGTGCGGGCCGAATACTGATCATATTCGGTCGGGTCGCCCGTCGAAGAAGTCTTTTGTTTATTAAGACCCGAAACTTCTAGTGACATTGGGGCAACAACACTGACGACGCATCTAGATTCAGCACTTGAAGGTGTATTTTTAATAATATAGTGTTAAACAGCCTTACATTACAATACTTCTTGATAGACAATATTTTTTGTCTTTCCTTGTGGAGTATAAAGAAACGAATTGGTTTTAATTTCCAAACGTCAACAAGCAAGATGGTATTTATCAATCCACCCACGGGGATCGAATGTGGCACAAGGCCTTTTTAATGTGGGTATCTCTGAGCCCGTAGGCCCAGCCAAAAATAAATAACCATCAAACCCGCCGAGGCTGGCCAGTTCCGTCAACCTCCCCAACGAAACCCTACCCTTCGGCGGGCTTCGTCCGGGTTCCTCTCTGCAAGCAGAGAGTTCAACAGACACCCGACCCGGCAGCTCACAGAGCGCAGATACTACACTTTGATCCTAGCCACCGGGCCGAGCGGGTATTCTTTTTACGTCAACAAGCAAGATACAACTGCCATGAAAGAAACAGAATTCTTCTCACTGTACTCTAGTAACTGATTGAGTTTGGCTTTGTTCTTTGTTAAAAGACATTGCAAAACTTACTCTTTATCCACCTTTATGTATAAATGGCTCTTCAAAAAGAATTTTCTTCAATATTATATTATACACTTACGGGATCTCCACTAATTTGCCGAAAATGGCATACCTATAGTTAAAAATTAATCAAAAAATAATTAAAAATCGTCCTTGACTATTTCTTTTAAGTTTTAATTAAAAAGTAATGGAATAAATTTACTATACCCAGTAAGTAAAACACTTTGGTGTATTTAAAACCGAACTTATATTGATTGGGATAATTTTTTTTTTGTTTTCAGTAAAATCGATTATCTGCCATTTTCAGACATTTGTAGACAAAAGTTATATTCTCCGTTTTCAAAATTATGTAAAAATAAAATATACATTTTCTTAAGGTTAATTTAGTCCAATTAGAACTTTTAAGTTTACGTAATCTATTTTTAAACAAACAGTACTTATTTTTTAGCAGAAAACAAAAACATAGTAGAAAATAAGAGAATAAGTATTTCTTAACTGTGGTGACTCGTTTGTCAGTTGTTGATTGATGATTCTAAAGGCTGAAGTCAGAAGAAGTCATCGGATGGTACCCACTATGCCACGTACACAAAAGTGAATCATTCTCATTGCCTTTGTATTGTATTAGTAAGAAAGAAGTTCTACTCGGACAGCTTCTCCCGAAGAACTGCTGCTTTCTAGTGCTTTCCGCAATCAATAAATTCTTGACGTCGAGTACTCCGACGTGAAGTAATAGTTACTAAGCTTGTCTCGATAGATCAATTCCACTTGAGTAGTGAGTTTGATCCTCATTAGGTGCTCCAGAATTTTGGCCATGTCCTACATCAGATCTCCGCTTAGAAAATCATTTTGGGCACATTGATAGGGTGTAATAGTTACGAAGCTTATCTCGATGGATCAATTACAATTGAGTAGTGAGTTTGATCCTCACCTATAATTTCGACCTTGTGTTACATCTAAGCTCCGCTTAGAAATATTACATGTCGTGGGGTCATAACTGTATTCTTTGAATAGTGATGTATGAATTTTGCTTTTTGTTAAATAAGAAATATTTTGTAGCATGTATGTATTTATACATACCTGCAACATACTTGTTGACAACACTAATATAATAGCATCATCTACACGCAAAAAAAGGCTAAAAATAATGGGAGCCTTATTAATAAAAGCAAGAAAACCAACTATGAACATGGACAGAATATCTTGACCGTGTTTTGAAAAATGAAAACATTATATGGATACATACTTTCAACAAACTAATTCTTATTTAACAGTTAAAATATCTAATCCTTGAAAATGGCTAAATGTATAGCCGAAAGCGCTCGGATAAAAAGAACATTCGGACAGTTTTTATATAATTTATCATCTTAAAAAAAAAAACATTATTAGATCGCATGAGAAATTGAATAAAAAACTAAATAAAAGCACCTTGGCTGTCGTATTCAATGAAATGTGCATGAAAGAAGGATTGCTCCCTAAATTGACACACACACACACACACACACACATACACATATATATATATATATATATATATATTTATGTTTGTACATTCTTTTTATAGATACAAATATTTAAGTAAATGCTCTGTTAATAATAAACACTATTAAACAACATTTACCGGCCTGAATGTCGGAGAAATTTTCATAGAAAATATTCGTCCTCCGACAGGAATCGAATCTGTATCCTATGCGGAACCGTCATATAGCCTGACGTGCCTTAACCGATTTGGCTGCAGATGAGCGTTCGGTCTTTAAACTACAATCTTCCATGATTCCCTCACATTCATATCTGCTCATGGCGTATCCAAATGTAAACAAATGACGTCACATGTCGACAATTATTTTAAGAGATTTTTATGTTTATACATTCTTTTTATAGATACAAATATTTAAGTAAATGCCTGTCTTCAGCTGTGTTCATTTCGTTTTTGTATTGTTACTTTCACTGGTATATTTACGTGCCTGATTCGGCATTATGTGGATTTGCGATCAGCACTATGAGGTCTTTGATCTTTCGACTTTTTGAGGTGTTACCGTGTACAAAACTTTGACATCCCGTAGCCCAAACCCAGTACATATTGAGGCCACGTCAGATCACTCTTTCTTAGGTCTAGGTTCCTGATGAACTATTTCCATCCGTGATATTTCTTATCGTGAATTGCATATTAGAGTAATGATAGGTTTCTACCTATAACCCATTACGGTTCCCAAAATTAACGGTTTAATGCTGACTACAGGCTTTGTCCAAAGAAATATTTTACATAAATGTACTCCGTGAGAAAGAGATATTCAAGTTCTAAATTATGCATGTCATGGCTGCTGAGTTTGATTGCGACCAAATGCAACCAAGTGCTCCAGTGTTTGGATCTTGTGCCACACTAGAGAAATTTGGAAGTAAGTGTCCTATGAAAAAATAATTGTCTATAAAGTGAAAGTGAAAAATATTATCACCATTATAGCTGCTGCAATCTATGCACAATTTTCTTTGCATTTTTAGATACGCTAAATCAGTTTTTTTTTATGACAAGCAGTGATTAAAAAGAGAAATAAAAAAATCTTTTGCAAGAAATAATTTCAAATAAGAATTTATCATGTCTTTCTCTCTAATCCTCGTAAATAGAACAGCTTGGGGTTGTTCGAACGCAACACTTGCTTCTCCCCAAACTCGTTCTTTATATCTTTATTAGAGTTTTTTTTTTTTTTATTTATTCTGCCTTTCGTTTATTTGTTCTTTCTATTCTTTCTTTCTTTTTTCTTTCTTCTTTTTCTGCATTCTTTCTTTCTTTCTTTCACCCATTTTTCTTTTCTATTTTTTCTTGTATCTTCTTTCATAATTTCTTTTTTTCTCTAATTTCTTTCCTATTTTTGCCGTTTCTTGTTTTATCATTCTTTCTTCTTTTTCTTCGTTTTTCACTTTCTTTGTTGTCTCTTTCTTTTTTCTTCTATTGTTTTTTCGAATTATTATTTTTCCTTTCTTTTTTTAAATATTCTGTTGTTCTTTTCCTTCCATTACTCTCCCTTTCATACTTTGTATTTCTCTTTTCTTTCAACTGTTCATTCTTTCTTTTTCCTTTTCTTGTCTTTTTCTTTCTTTCTTTCTTTCTTTTTTCTTTTCTTGTCTTTTTTCTTTTTCCTTTTTGTCTTTTTCTTTCTTTTTTTCTTTCTTTTCTTGTCTTTTTCTTTCTTTCTTTCTTTCTTTCTTTTCTTGTCTTTTTCTTTCTTTCTTTCTTTCTTTCTTTCTTTTCTTTTCTTTTCTTTCTTTTCTTTCTTTCTTTCTTTCTTTCTTTCTTTCTTTCTCCTATGCTTGTTTCTTTTCGTTCTTTCTTTTTCTTTCTTTTTTTCTTTCTTTTCTTGTCTTTTTCTTTCTTCCTTTTTCCTTTTCTTGTCTTTTTTTTCTTTCTTTCTTTTCTTGTTTTTTCTTTCTTTCTTTTCTTGTCTTTTTCTTTCTTTCTTTCTTTTTTCTTTCTTTCTTTCTTTTTTCTTTCTTTCTTTCTTTTTCCTTTTCTTGTCTTTTTCTTTCTTTCTTTCTTTCTTTCTTTCTTTCTTTCTTTCTCCTATGCTTGTTTCTTTTCGTTCTTTCTTTTTCTTTCTTTTTTTCTATATTTTCTTTCTTATGTTCCTCATGTGATATTTCTGTCTTTATTCTTTTATTTACTTAAGGTTAAAAATGAGGGAAAACTAGTCTCAATATTATCAACTATGAACAACTATAAACACAATATCTTGAACGTGTTTTGAAAATTAAAACATTATATAAATAAATACACATAGCAATCTATTTCTTGTTAATAGTTAATATATTTCAACCTTGAAAACGGCTAAATGTATAGCCGAATGTGCTCAGATAAAAAGATGAATCGTAAGTTTTTTTTTATAAAATTTATCCGCAAAGAAAAAAAAAGTATTAGATCATGAGAAATTGTACAAGAAACTAAATCAAAAGCACTTTGTCGTATTCAATGATATATATATATATATATATATATATATATATATATATATATATATATTATTTTAAATTAATTGATTTTATTTTTTTCGCTACAGTTCTAACCATGTTTCAAAACTGGAAGCTAAAAGCCACAATTTAATTTTTGTGATTAAATTAAAGACATTCACGTTCCATTTCATCCTCAAGCGATTTTTTAAAAATCAATTAATTTATAATATAAATGCTCTGTAAATTTACATTGATCACTATTTTGTAAAAATAAAAATATCTATAAGAACACCGGATTATATATCTTGCTGTTCTTTCTTTTTATATATTTTATATATATATATATATATATATATATATATATATATATATATATTATGAAATGGATTAAGTCCAACAGTTGTTTCATATATATCCTATTTGAGGATTGCATGTTTATAAACAGTAATTTGGAGTTTGCTAACCAGATGCTTCTCTGTAGCCAAATGGTATATCACGTCAAATCAAATAACGGTTTCCGAATAGGAATACAGGTTCCGTTCCTGTCGGACAATGCATATTTTTACGAAATCTCTTGGTCATTCTGGTTGATAAATGTAATAAGTACAGTTTAATTAAAAGCAGAGCATTTACTTAAATATATTGGATCTATAAAAATAACATATAAACAGAAAAAATATATTAAAGGATTATCGGACTGTTTTATTACAACGAGCACTGTTTTATTAACACCAGCTCAGTTCTTAGAATCAAACAAGCAGACCACCGGCACGTATCATTTGATTATAGAGGTGAAGGCTTGTGAAGAAACAACCACACTTTTTGAAGAACCGTATACAGAGAACTGGTACACAGTATGTCAAATGAGCCCCACACGTCTCTCCACAAATTTTTGAATTCAAAGCTTTCCTTCTCTTAGATTGGTTGCCACCTAAGAAACCAGTATGTCCTGTAATTTATCCGTAGTTGGACGGAGAATAGAAGGATTCACACCTTTGCAAATAGTTAGGGAATGCGACTGGGATTAGGGTTAGGAATTATCGAACGCGGCTCTCCGTTCTTAATCCGAGCAGCAAGAGATTATCCCACCGTGCCTCACTATATACTACTAATATATATATATATATATATATATATATATATATATATATATATATATATATATAAAGATATATTTATTAGTAACTTCTGCGAGGTCTGTTTTGCAGGATCTAATCCTGCGTTTCGTGGTGGAAAATGCCACTTCATTTTGTCAAAATCGGTGTTTTTTGTTGAACCCAATTTTTTTCAAATAGCGAAAGGCAGTTGAGATATTGATTCTCAAACACTTCCGTCTAAATCTATTTATTATCCATAATCGCAAGCAGTGCGTCTTCACCGGCGTCTGGAAGGTCGCCTGCTGCGCGGTCCTTCCTTTTAAGCTAAAATCTCTCGGTCAAAATCTGCGAAACCACTTTTGGACCGCCCGACTAGCTGGAGCAAGGTCCAAATAAAACTTCTAAATGTTTTTTTTTTTTTTTTTTTTGTGTCGTACTTCTGACGCTTACTCGGCAATTCATAGAGCATAACATGGCGAAAGTGACATTTTTCGTCCTCCATATTTAAAGCATTTATTTGTGAACAAAACGTCAACAATCAACAAAGTCTGACTCACGACGGAACGTTGAAAAGTTTTAATGTAGAACACACCGGAAACCGACACTAAAACAAACAGTCGTGTCAATTTGCGCACATTTTATATTAACCCTTTGCCTGTCCAGGTCATTTTCGTTCATTCTTGTTTCCAGATTTATAACTACTGCAATGCAACTCGGCTTCTTTGGCAAATAGGATTTGCTGATATATAGTGTTTCACATAACAAAAACGTACAAATCATAAGTCATTTTCCCTCCGCTCTGTGCATCACATGTGACGCAAAGGGTTCTATTTGGTGAAATACGATATATCAGCTCATTCTATTTGTCAAATCAGCTGAGTTGCCTTGCAGTAATTATAAAATCTGAAAACAAGCAAGCATACTGTGGTCACATAAGATGCCCAAAATATAAGATTAGGCCTTTCCTCAGATATCCTGCTCTTTTGTTTAATCATCCTTAGTTTTACCATTCTTTTAAAATCATGGCTCGTGTGCACCACATATGATGAACTGACGTGCAAATCACATATCCTGTGCATTACGTATGATGCTGGAGACAGGCAATTTTTTTTTCTTAGATATATTATAGCTTCTTATTCCAAGCAAAAGGTTATAATCATTTCAGTAAAGTGGAAAACAATAGATGTCTTTCTTTAGAGACGTTACATTATCATTCAAGCGTCCTGTGGTCATATATGATCCACAAAATATAAGATTAGGTCTTTCCGCGGACTTACTTCTCAATAGTAGACTCTTTTCTTAAGCGTCATTAGTTTTACCACTCTTTTAAAATCATGGCTCGGGTGCACCACAGATGATACACGGATATGGAATTCACATGTCCTGTGTATCAAATATTATGTGCAAGAAAAAGCAATGGATTAACATTGAAAATCGCGTAGGAACTTTTGCAATGATCTGATTGTGTTTTCTTTTAGTCTTCACATTTTTCCGTATCGTCTTTTGTTCTCTTCTTTTTTTTTTGTTATACTTGATGCCCTCGTGGGCGGGGGTGACTAAATACCGTTCAGTCTGAAGTCGGGCGACCGGCGTACCGGCTGATCGGTTGAACTCTCTGCCTTTGGGCGGGGAGGAACCCGAACGAGGCTACGCCGAAGGGCGGAGTCTCTTTCGGGGAGGTAAATTAACTCTGAACCCGTTTATACAGGTTCAAAGGGCAATTTTTTGGCCGAGCCCACGGGCTCGGAGATCCCACGTTAAACCAGCCTTGTGCCACATGATGCCCTCGTGGGGGGTAGTGACTAAATACCGTTCCGTTTGAAATCTAGAGTTCAGTCTGAAGTCTGGAGTGAAGTCCGTCAGAAGTCTATCAGTCAAAGCGAGCGAGCGAGTCAGTCAGTCGAGTCAGAGGCAGTCCGAAACAGAGTCGCGTTCAGACGATTACTACTAAACCTGATTGTTCGTACTAATACTTACTACTTCTCCGTATATATTCCTGTTTGTAATATATCTGTTTTATTCCATATACGTGTTCGAATTCTTCTTTATTGGTTCTACCTTGCACTATCACCGTGGTACAAGGAACCGGACCATAACACTTCTTTCTTTTCACTACGTCTTTCTTTTCATTTTTTTCATTTCACTTCGTCTCTTTTTGCATTTCGTCTTTCTTTTCACTTCTTTCTTTTCCTATTTCCTTTTTTTTCTTTCTTTTATTCATTTGTTACTATTCTTATTTATTTTTCATCTTTCTTTTTTCTTTTCCGTCCTTTTTTCTTCTTTCTTTTTGAATTATTTTTTTACTGTCATTCTTCATTTTTTCTGTCTTTCCTGCTTTCCATTATTTTTAATTAGTTTTCTTTCTGTTATCATTTCTTTCTTTCTTTCTTTCTTTCTTTCTTTCTTTCTTTCTTTCTTCTAAATACCTATCACTCCATTTCCCTCTTATTTTTTCTTTTCATCCTTTTCCCTTTCTTTCTTTCTTTCTTTCTTTCTTTCTTTCTTTCTTTCTTTCTTTTAAATACATATCGCTCCATTTCCGTCTTTTCTCTTCTTTTTTATCCTTGCATTGACCTTTCTTTCTTTCTCTTAAACAACTATCGTTCTATGTCTCTCTTTTCTCGTCCTTTTTATCCTTTCTTGTCCTTTCTTTCTTTCTTCTAAATACCTGTCACCTTATTTCCCTCTGTTTCTTCCTTTTCATCTTTCTTTTGCCCTTGTTTTATTCCTTTATTTCTTTCTTTTAAATGCGTATCACTCCATTTTCCTCTTTTCTCTTTTTTATTTTTGACTGCTCCTTTCTTTCTTTCTTTCTTTCTTTCTTTCTTCTAAATACCTATCGTTCCATTTCTCTTTTTTCTTATCTTTTTTATCCTTTTCTTTCTTTCTTTCTTTCTTTCTTTCTTTCTTTCTTTCTTCTAAATACCTATCACTCCATTTCCTTTTTATTTCTTCTTTTCATCCTTTTCCCTTTCTTTCTTTCTTTCTTTCTTTCTTTCTTTCTTTCTTTCTTCTAAATACCTATCACTCCATTTCCCTCTCATTTTTTCTTTTCATCCTTTTCCCTTTCTTTCTTTCTTTCTTTCTTTCTTTCTTTCTTTCTTAATAATGTCCTACTGTTATTCTTTCTTTATTACTGGATTCTTTCTTTTTCTTTCTTTCTTTCTTTATTTCTCATTGTTTTTTCGTTGTTGTCTCATTCTTTTCTCTTTTCTTTCTTTCTTTTCCTTTCTTTCTTTTTTACTTACTTTTTTACCTCTGATTCTTCTTCTCTTTCTATCTCTCCAGGTTTCTGTTGTTTTTATTCTTTCTTTCGGGCTTTCTTTTTTGTCTTTCTTAATTTTTTCTGATGTTCTTTTGTATTCTTCCTTAATTTCTCTTGTTCTTTCTTTACTTGTGTTTGCTTTTACTTGTTTTCAGTTCTTCCTTTTTATTCATTCTTTTTCTCACTTCTTCTTCCTTTATTTTACTATCTGTCACTCCTTTCTGCCCTTCAAGCTTGACAATCCAGGTTCTTTAGCCTTGGATGGCAACTGGTCTACCGCAGAAAAAAATGGCAACCTACTGTGGGAAAACATCTGTCTTGTCAGTCATGTATCGAAAAATACATGATCGCCTAAGCGTGTATCACGCATGGCACATAACTGACTGACTATGCATTTTCAATTTCTTTGTCGACCATTTTACTCATTGCCAGAGCCAACGTTCCCATAGCAACTGGATGCCATCTCTGAAAACGAGGCTAACTAAATTCGTGGACGTTCTTTCCTGATAAAGCCAGAAAATGGCGGACAATAGCCTAGCACAAAATAAAAGCCAACACCGACTGTAAAACTAGGAACGATGAAGGCATCCTATGGTGCGAAGGTGATGTGTAATTAGTTGTCGGGAAAAGAGGAATGCCATTGCCTTTTAGATTTTCCGACTGTCAATGGACAGGCAATGGCATTTCCGGTCCCATTTTATTTTTTTTATTCATTCTGCTTTCAGTTTGAGGCTGCACGTTTGTCCCCTAACAGAGCGTCCACCGACAATTGTTTGAGTGCTTCTACGAAATGCATGAGGACAAACCTACGTCTGTTATGTGCGCCACAAACAATCACGAGACTACTATTTACTTGAGCGTATTGGGGTAATAAAAAAACACATTTAACGGATGATATAATCCACAACTGTACAAGGAATAAAATTTCAAGTTGGACAGTGATTAAAAATCTGAGAAGGCAAGAAACACAGAAAAGGGAATATAAAATAAATGTTAGAATACAGTTTCAGGATAAATAAAAGTTTTACTTAAAATACGCATATATGAGAAAGATTAAATCTAAAAGCAAAAACAAAAAGAAAAAAACAAAAGGAAAAAAAAATCAAAGAAAGAATGCGAAAGGATATGCCTAAAGAAAATAGCAGCTCTCTGTTAACAGCGATAGAAAGTTATGAAGACGCTGTGATCTATTAAATGCATTGCTTGGTTTGTTTTTTACGGTTTACCAATCTTTTGCAGGTAATTTAAAGCCAGAAAATATTTTTAGATTGTAAGTGTACTTTGGAAATAATAATTACTTTTACTGATACAAGTTCTACTAATTAACCCATAGATGGTAAGGAAAACGTGTATTCATACATTTACCAAATGTATTTGCAAATAAGTTAATATAACAAAAACGAATGAAATTAGAACTCGGATCTCCGATTTCAAATAACATTACGCCAGCTGCACTTCCAAAATTACAGTAGCTGGTATTCCCAAGCGGTTAACAGGTAGATTGACAGAAAGATAGATAGATGCGAACATTTAGATTCACACACACATGAACACACATACAGATGCATTTACAAGGTTGGGCTGAAAAATTAATAGGCTGACTATGAGAGAGCGATGCTAGAGCTGTGAAACTTTGCATGCACTCATTTCAACTCTTCTTATTAATAACTGCGTCGTTTCTTTCCAGATACGAGAGAGGGCTGAGACGTTCATAGACTGACTATGAAGGAGTGATGCTAGAGCCGTGAAATCTTGCATGCATTCCTTTCAAAACTTGTTAATAACTGCATTGTTTCGTTCCATGTTCCATGGCTGACTTTGAAGGAATGATGCTAGATCTGAAAAATTAATAGGCTGACTATGGACTAGAAAACTTTGCATGCACTTTTCATCTTCTTATTAATAACTGCGTCGTTTCTTTCCAGATACGAGAGAGGGCTGAGACGTTCATAGACTGACTTGAAGAAGGAATGATGCTAGATCGTGAAATCTTGCATGCATTCCTTTCAAAACTTGTTAATAACTGCACTGTTTCGTTCCATGTGCGATGGAGGACTGAAAAGTTCATAGGCTGACTTTGAAGGAATGATGCTAGATCTGTCAAATCTTGCATGCCATAATTCCAACTCCTCTTGTTAATAACTGCATTGTTTCTTAAAAGTTAAACTGACATCTGAATGTTTAAGATTTCAAATTAGCAACTTCTCTTGAAAATTGATGGAATTTGGCATTGTGATATTATGAAGTACTTGCAGAAAAAAAAGTTTAGAGAATGACGCCTAAGTTTATAAACAGTGCAAAAATGGGCAGATGAATTTAGGGGGGATGGGATAGTCTTGTAAATGACCCAAGGTCTAGACGTCCTATAATTGACATTACCAAGGAAAACATAGATCGTGTTTCAGTACATAGTGATGAATGACAGGCGATTGACTACAAAATAAATACTATTAACATATCCTATGGGAGAGTTGAGACTATTATGTGCAATAAAATTAGCATGACGTTGGTTTCTGCTCAGTGGGTTCTACATCGTCTTCCAACTGATCAAAAGCGAATAGACTGATCATCTCACAGAGAAATCTTACATTGTTTGAAGGAGATCCAGCTGGTTCTCTTTACGACTAATGTTGGTTTCATCACTTTGAGTCAGCGACAAAGAGATAATCCAAAGAGTGGAAACACCCCTTCTTATATGATCCAAAGAAGGATAATGTCATTTCATAGTCAGAGAAGGCATTGTGTTTATTGACTATATTTAACCCTAGAACACTAACCATCAATTAAAGTTACACCACTAGCAACCATGGGTATATCATACCCGATTTTGAAAATATCAAAAAAATATTAAATATAAATCTTTATTTGAAATATTTTACATGCAGGCACTTCAAACTTTGTACTTTGAGTTAACATTAATAGAAACTGAAAAACATATTATTTAGGTAAGAAAATCAGGTACTGAAAATTGTAATTAAAAATAGGAAAATTAGCGCTGGGTACTATATACCCATGGTTAGTGTTCTATGGTTAAAAGGACCACACCATCAATGAAAGGTACTAGCCAACTTACTGAATCATATGCGAAAGATTAAGAGCAAATGTCCAGGAAAACTGGCGAAAGTTGTTTTGTTTCGTCAGGATAATGCTCCGGGAAACATTTATTTGATATCAATGGCTGTTTTGTGTTACTGTGGGTTTGATCATTTTCCTTATTCTCCTGATTTAACTATCAGTTGTTTCCTGACATGAAAAATAAACAATTGGCTGGAAACCAGCATCTCAGTGATGATGATGCCATACCTTCTGTTGATGGCACATGGGACTAGCTGGATGAAAGCTTCTTTCTCCAACGGGATCCAAGCACTGCAACGCCGAGGGGAGACGTATGTGGACGGCATGGGGGACTATGTTAAAAAAAGAAATCACATTGGCCCTTATTCTATAAGGTTATCTTGGACAGTGTGTTAACTTTTCAGCCGACACTAGTAGACAGAGGTAAATAATTCTGACTGATATTAATAGATTCATAGAAAGAACACTTTCATTTACAGGCACAAATATATATATATATATATATATATATATATATATATAAAGACATTTTTATGTTTATACATTCTTTTTATAGAAACAAATATTTAAGTAAATGCTCTGTATATAATAAACAATATGAACAACATTTACCGGCCTGAATGTCCGAGAAATTTTCATAGAAAATATGCGTCCTCCGACAGAAATCGAACCTGTATCCTATACAGAACCGTCATATAGCCTGACGTGCTTTTACCGATTTCGCCACAGCGGAGCGTTTCGGTTAGCAAGGTCAATTTTACTGTTTTTAAACTACATTTTTCCATGAATTTTTCACGTACATTCATATCTGCTCATGGCGTATCCAAATGTAAACAAATGATGTCAACCATTATGAAATGGACAAAGTCCGACAATTATTTTAAGACATTGTTATGTTTATACATTCTTTTTTGATAGATACAAATATTTAAGTAAACGCTCTGTTTATAATAATCAATATTAACAACATTTACCCTCATAGAAAATATGCGTCCTCCGACAATAATCGAACTTGTATCCTATTCGGTAAATGAAACAGCCTGCCGCCTCTGAGTGTTGACTTCAATGTTCACTTTTATATTTATATTTACATACGCTCTATTTCTGGTATTGAGCACTTTATCCCATAAATATAGCACACCTTAAAACTATATTTCTTCATATATATATATATATATATATATGGGTGTGTGTGTGGGTGTGGGTGTGTGTGTGTGTATTGAGGAAGGCCAACAAGATTGAATCTGTAATAATAACGTTTTTTACTGCCAGTAGTATTTTCAATAAGCATGCTCTGTTTCATATGATATAGCAATGACAATAA